AGAGTTAAACAAAGGTTGGGATGTCTGAGCAGTAGCCCACTTATCACTACCCACCCCGCTGGATGCAATGGGTAGCGCGGTCCTGATTATCCCTCGCGACTACCGATGCAGTATTGAATTATTTTTTGGTTGTTTATGCATTTGAGTTTGATGAACGGGTACTGCCAGGGTGTCCAGCCACTAAGCACGAGAACGATTAGGGTTCTCGTCCAAAGCCTTTAGTTCTGACAAGAACCCGACCGAGAAGCAGTGGGTAAAGCGAAGTAGAGGCTCATTTACTTGGATCAATTCGTCCTCTGTCATTTTACCGACTGAGACCCTAACTCGAGTCGAACCCCCAACCTGGAGGACCAGGAGACTGGACCTCGTTTGACCTCTTCCCATTGACCTTCCAGGCATGATTAGATCTGCTTGACAAGAGCCATCCTGTGTAGCTCGTTGGGTCAGAGAGGTGCACAAGCCATCACACCAGGTCAAGGTGCAGTCTCGTCGTGATGGTCCCAAGGAGTGAAACTCAGACATCGATCTATTCGTAATTAAGGGTAATTTTGAACAAATGACATCGATTTTTTCGCTGAGTTGGGACCATCTCAGAAAACAACCTATCACTAATGGAACGGATAACTGTAAAGTATAGTTTGGAATGATCTTTTCTCTTGAATGACCCCAACCATTGCTGAACGAGCAAATGACTAAAACCATCAAACATACAGCTCGTAATGCTAAACCTGGTCTGAATTGAAATTTGCTCAGTAATTTGGGTTTACGTGGATAGAACTATTGAAAAAGACAGACATAGCCGTGACTTATTCGCACCACTATTACAGCACCTTCAAGCTATTATGTGCATTATGTGCATTGCAGTTACACCACAACACAAACGATCATTTCGTCTGCATCCTTCCCGAAAATTGTACTCATTTCGCAACCCTTCTAATCGACAAGTGTCGTTTTTCACCCGACTGTCAGTATCAGGTAAGCATGTTATTTCTTGCAACACCCCATCTCAATGTATGGAACAATGACAGAGAGTATTGTTTCAATTGAAGAAGTCTGTCTCTCTGCAAAATCTCACTTCTGAATTGTTCTGAAAGAGAGACACAACATTACCAGCTACCAACATATTTTTAGGGTAAAATTTGCACGCGATAAGTTAACAAGAACTAATTTTTCGGACAAATTACATGTGAAAGGGTTTGCCCTACGGGGTAAATGTTCTCGTGCGAAGCATGAGACTAGTAGGGGGAATAAATTTGAAAATTTGGGAAAACCTACCCTGGGTCAGTAAGTTTGGCCATCAGTGCATGTGCTTCCATGTGATGTACCGGAATTATAGGTAACCTGAAGAAAAGAGAGCATATTGTGAGTGGAAGCACGGCTAAATTACGCATGCTGTCGAGCTATTTCTTTGGCATAATTCACACCAACTTTTAGAGACAAAGGCATACCAGGTTTTACAGTTACAGCAATCGCATCGAGTTCCTTTGTAGCGACAGAAAAAGGAAGGTTAAAAATTATGGAAGCTCACTTTCCAGGACAGCTTCGCCTTTTGCATTACCGATTCCGTGACCTGAGATATATGCCTCTGGTGTAACTCTCTCGCAACGGCAGGTATTACGCCACCAAACCTTCAAAAAGATTGTAGTCATCACAAGGAAACACTGAGAAATTAAAATAAATGCGTACAAAATGCTGAATTTCGTTTGAGACTGTACACACTCAGAAACTATTTCTCCAGTTCGATTAAGAACTGCTGCACCCGTATCATCACAGCTTGTCTCCAGACCGAGAATATAAAATCTGTGAAAATTCTGCATATAAGGAAACCTGGTCCTGTGAAAGGGAACGGATAAAACCGCTAGCAAAGTTTCAACCCACTTTGGTGAAAGCGAAGTCATGGGAATTAAGCGCCTCTTCAAATGATTCATCATTATCCGGTGATTCACTAGCTAAAAGAAAAGAGTTAACCTCGATTTACTCACATTCACATAAAATGGAGATTGAACTTAGTTGAAATAACGAGCATTCCGTTCGTTCAAATGTTTTTGGTGTTGTATATAAAAATATACTCATTTAATTTGATCTCAAACGAATTTCAACTTGGCGTTAAAAATGAGGGAGGTAATCCATAGTGGAAAACAGACAAGCTTGGTATGTAAGTTGGATGCTACATGAAAAACCATAATGCTATTTTTCGATAACCACCCTCCAGACTGGACCCTGCTTAGTGGCTGGACACCCTAGCAGTATCCGTCCATCAAACCTCAATGCATATGCATTACGAGTTTGGCAGCGATCAGTGAAGTTCGCTTCACTGTATTTCGCTGTATGATGATGATGATAATGAGGCTCCCTTCAGCCATTTATTTTTTCAAGTAATTTCATTTCATGAGTGAACTCATTCATCCCAAGAGATGAGCACAACAGTCATTGGTGTTTGTTCTTCTAGAGACACTGATGCGTTCACATCTGGTTGGACGATCGACTTTTAGCTTCCATTAGTATTAAAGGGGTTACTTTGAGGTGTGCTCGGTTGAATTGCTTGACGAGTACTAGCGGAGAGCGACCGTTTTGGCTTCATGGAAGGCTGGATGATACCAACAAATATCCACATTTGAAAATTTTGTGTGGTAACCTATGGCTACGCGAAAGACTGCCAAGATATACAGGATTTCGTGGTTGAATAGAATCCTACCAATAAGATAGGTTTTGCATTAAAGGAGAAAACAACACTAAAGAAAATCAGATAAAAGCTGATCGCAATGGACGCATAAGTGGGTGTCAAATTTTAACAGGAAAATAACAAAAAAGCGATACATTACAAAATACCTTTTGGTCGATATTGTCTTATTTTCTACTCTTCCGTAAAAATTGATTGTACATATATTTCTTTGTTGCTAGCATACGTAGTATACTCCCCGTAGGTATCCGGTAAGACCGTGGAACACTTCTTTTGGTTTGGTGAACTTTGATTAACAGTGCAATCTCATTTTCGCACTCCATTTTATTCAGTGATTATTTAATTCGTAGACGAACCTAACATTAATCAGAGTAAACTAAAATTGGAGAAGCAACTTCTGTCTTCATGCATTAAGTTAACCAAATTCAGTAATACAAAAACTAGCCTTATTCCGCACAGACTGCATCCGTCTCTAAATGACTGTATCCCTAAATCTCGCAACTCACAGATAGCGCTCAAGCTTTTACCCACAATAATGTGCACGAGTACGACTCCTAAAACCAAGTGAAGAAAGCATCGATTTCCGCATTGTCAAGTCCAGTAAAAGTAAGCTTTATGCACCCGGAGGGTGAATTTCTAGCGATTTATCACGATAATACAGTGGAATTGAGGGGAATGGCATCCGAGTGTGAAAAACGACAGCAAACTGGATGCAGGAAGATAGCGACAGATAATAAATGAATAAATAAACTAACTCATGAGGTGTTCAACCAAATCTGGAATAATAGGTGCCCGATTTATTAAAAAGCGAGCAAGATAAGGGAGGATGCTGTTTCTGTATGTGATGGTGCGTGCGGGAAGGAGCCTATAATGGGAGCGGGTACGGGGGTTTGACATGGATCTAATAAGTTCGTTATGCAAGCAGTGATCTTCGTTGTTCAAAATTCTGTCGGCTATTCTTTCACATGCGTCGATCTGTTTGCGCACAATAAAATCAACCAGAACCTCTCTGGCTATGCCACTACATTCTGATCATTCCTGATCAACGCCCACAAGTTATTCGAAAGCTTAAAGTTGGTGATCGCTCGCCCTCCTCATGGCTGCAATCCACTGGAAGAAGTTGGCCGTTTCTGACTTTCAGGGTGTTGTATCTTCGTCAGTCGCAGATCCAATGCTTGAAAGTTCAATGGGTAGAGGTCAAA